CAAACTGGAAAGGTAGGAGCCTACATGAAAATGGCTGAGATACCTGAGAGATAGTATTTTAAAATGAGGTACATTTTATTGTTTGCCTTTTCTAGCTATTAGTAAATAGGCATACTGAGATTTCTTTTCAAGAAGCCATTTGAATGGGTGTGAGTCCTGCTTGAGTTACCCTTTTATTTTCATAGTTATGAAATAAGCCAGTGACAGAACCAATATAAAATTGTCAATTCAAACTCCAAGACATGACATTTATCATCCTGCAAAGAAGGGTGACATCTCCATCACCATCCTAATGGGAAGATTGAACCCACAAATGTTTTGATCATGCTCTCCATAAATCTCCTTCCATATCCTACTCTAATGACTCTGAACACCAACTTTCAAGTAGGACACTAACAGTGGTACTTCACTGTGCCCAAGAGGAACCCTCCTGAATCGCTCTTCATACTGAAATTCATGGAAAGTGATTCACAGATGGCCTGTCTTACATTCTATCAATTTTAAATGGCAAGTTACGAATCATAGCATATGAAAACTTGGCTCTTCTTAGTCTTCGAAAAGGGAAAAGCAGAAATTTGCTCAAATTAAAGTTCAGCATATTCCCTCTCAAGCCTTTATTTGTTAAACCTCTTTTGATAATTGCCTAATTAAAAAAAAAAAGTGTCTTCAATTTGTACAACTCTCAGAGCAGCCAGATGAGCAGCCCTGAAAGCTGGCCAGTGAACACGCAGGCTCAAAGTCACAACAAATTTCCCAACAGCAAAGCGATGAGGCCTTCACGAGGGAGGCCCACCGCTTCCAAGTGACAGGCTCTGAAATCACAGGGTTCAAAGCACTCAGGTTTCACACACTGTACTGGGATACAAAGTGGGCCTCATGCGCAGGTATCTTTTCCCATTTCTGTCTTAAAATGTAGGTAGATCATCCAGAGGCTGGTAGCTCATACCTATAATCCCAGCTACTCAAGAAACTGAGATCTAAGGACAGAAGTTCAAAACCAGTCTGGGCAGACAAATCTGGGAGACTCGTATTTCTAATTCACCAGTAAAAACCTGGAAATGGAGAAGTAGCTCAAACAGAAGAGCACCAGCCATTAGCAAAAGAGCTAAATAAGAGAGCAAGGCTCTAAGTTCAAGCCCCAGTATTAGCAAAAGGAGGGAGAAGGAAGGGAGGCAGGGAGGCTGGGAGGGGTTTTCCAGAGAAAGATGGAGGAAGAAGCATACACAAAGGCTAGCTGAGGGAATGTACACCGTGGCTACGAGACAATGAGGGAATAAAAACAAATTGAAATAGAACAACACATAGGTAACGAGTGACCGAAGAAAGACTTGGAAGCCAATGATGATCAAAGTAGCACTCGGTACATCTGAAGTACATACCACTTCCATCAAAAAGAAATTTTAGAAAGACAATGGACAGCTAATGAAAGAACATACAGAAGATAAAGAAGTACTTGGACTTGCCTTTTGAGAGCAGCCTGGCTACTCTGTCAAAAATAGAAAGCAGAGACAGAGAAGGTGAAACACAAGAAGGAAGAGTTATTTAGCAGATGACTACAGTACTGGACATATTCAAAGATAACTTTCCCCAAAGGCAAAGGGCTTGCTCTCAGACAAGTGAAGTTATCCGTCCGTGTCAAAGGCTTTGCCTAATTCATGTATGAAGGAGGGAGACCTGAAGATGTTGCCACCAGTTCACAAAGAATGAGATGAAATACTTGTTTGCATGCAAAAAATAAAATAATTTTTTTAAAAATGTATAACTGAAAATAAAATCACAAAAGATACAAAAAACTTGTCTATCCAATTCAATATCCAATCGCATTCCAACTAATTCTCACTTGACTGAGTAAGCTTTATTTGCATAATTAACTATTTTCTGCAACATGGAGTTATAAAATAGCTCAAAAATACTGAAAGACATGGATAAGTCAAAAGGCTGAGCCAGGTAGGTCATTCACTTATCTTAAATTTTTCTCACACAGATCAAGAGAAAAGTGGAAAGCAGGACAAAAATGGAGAGAACACAAAGTGGAACCTATATAGATACTGGACATACAAGACGTGGTGTTCAAGACTTCAGATGAGGAGAACAAAGCCAATGTCTAGAGAGATATCTGTTTTAAACAAACTTGTCCAGCTGGATTTCTCAGCACAGGGATGCACACCACAGGACCCTCTGAACAACTGCATTTTAAAGTGAACCATAATGTACCATAGGACATAGATTTTTTTAAAAAAAAGTGAAATAAAATCCCCTTCTGTGGGATTTTTTTTTTCTGTGCTAATCTCTAGATTCCCACGTAAGGCCATGCAAAGAAGACAATCTTGCCCAACTAAGCAAGGGTTAAGCAGAATGAAAGCCCACTGAAATCTCCCCTCTCCTACAGGGCTAGGCCCCTCCTGCCTGGGGAGGGGGGGAAAGGGCCTTACTAGGGAAGAAGAAAGGAAAAGAAGGTAGATACTGGAATCGCTGCCGAGCCTTCCACCCTCTCTTTGTATCGGCATTTTCATACATTCTTAAATAAACTCCTGCCGGACTTTGATCCCACTTTTGATTTTTTTTTCTCCAAATATGAGATTACAAAACTACAACATTTATTTACTAAATGTGATAAATATTACCAAGCCCTTTCGGATCTCCTCTTTGCAAAATTTCCGAACTTCTCTGAGACAGACAACTGACAGGCGATGAAAGCCCCCATTTATAGAACAAAGGAATTCAGATAGGATAACTGCCCGCATGCGCAGGTCCAGTTCCTTTAATCCACGACTGCGAGGCCTCTGGAATCTGTGGTATTTGGGTCTCGTTTGAAGATGTCAACAACACACTTGAAAATGGCCGAAATTGATTGTTCACTCTTTTTTCTCAGCTGGCATCTGTATCATTCACCCCACCACCACCACCCCCATGTCATGTTTTCCTGAACTATTGGCTTTCTACACTCTGCTCTCAAAAGGAGACATACAGCCAGCTCACCCCTCGCCTTAGACCCTCCAAGGCCATAATGTTGGCAAAATGACCTTCAAAATTATTTGTGATTGGGTGGGGGGGAGGGGGGAGGCTGGGAAGGGAGGTGAAGGGTAAACAAAGGAGGAGGCTGCAATGCTTGGTAAGAAATGTATGCATTATCCTGCCCATGTAATTGTAACCCCTCTGTACAGTATGTTCTCAAATAAAATAAAATTAAATTAAAAAAAATTATTTGTAAGATAATTCTTCTCTAATAAATTAACTACACTGTGGGGGAAAATATATATTTATTTTTCTTTTATTTTATATATAACTGCTTCACTGGTTTAAGCTAAAAAATGACTGTGACATTCTTGGTCCTAACAGGCATGGATAATCCTGTCCACGTGGCACTCAGCAGACTCTGGGATTACACTCCTCACATCTAGACTCCATTACGAAAACTATGTGGCACAGGAAGATGGTCACGTGCAGATCCGAAAGTTCAGAAGACTGTGAAGTCTACGGCATAGATGACAAAATAAAACAACTGTTACCATTTGCCAAAAACTTCCGACTACTCCTTTGGAATAATCCGACACCTCAAATCACTAAGTAGGAAGCATCTCTATTCTTGTTCATCTCCACGGACTTAACTCTTCTGTCAACATCAGTTGTCACATCCCTGCCAGATTCCCTTTCCCATTCTCAGCCATACCGTAAGCTATCCCTCACAAAGCCTGTAAACCCTAAAAAAGGAAGAAAATAGAAAAACCACTACCATTACGTAATCAGCTATAAATACTCAGATGCAGAGCAAGGTCATTTTTTAAGAGAAGGTGTCTGGATGTTTTTTGCCCAGGCTAGCTTCGAACTCCTGGGTTGAAGCAAACCTCCTCTCAGCTTCCTCAGTAGCTAGGACTCCAAGGATGCACTAATATCTCCAACTTAGAGTCCAGTTTTGAACTGGGCTGCTACTGAAGGTAACCTTAAATTATCCTAAATTCTCTTGAAAGAAATGTCAAAGGTCATTTTCCTGACCTTTAACAACTTCCTTGAACAGAAAATTTTGAAAAATGACTTCAAAGTAAGATAGCTTTCATAGTATTTCAAAGACTGCAATGGTGTTTGTCCAAAAATCCAAATTTTTCATCCTTCTATAGTACAGTCCTGATAAACCTGAAGACTCTGTCCCATCTTAGACTTAGTGAACCAAATTCCACTTTATTATTTACCTTTTTTTTTTGTCAGTTGTGAGACTTGCACTCAGGGCTTGGGCACTGTCCCTGTGTCTCTTTGTGCTCAAGGCTAGAACTCTACCACTTGAGCCACAGTGCCACTTTGAGTTTTTGGGTGGTTAATTGGAGATAAGAGTCTCACGGGGACTTTTCTGCCTGGGCTGGCTTCAAACCATCATCCTCAGATCTCAGCCTCCTCAATAGTTAGGATTACAGATATGAGCCATTGGCACCTGGATAATTCCAACTTTTGTAACTCTGATAATCATATGTGAAACCCATTTGAAAAAGAGCACAGAGTATTGCTCACTCACTGTATTTCACCCCAAAACAAAATACTGATCAAAACACTACTATGTTCCAAGTGATTAGAAATGTTGAGAAAGAACGGCTCTGTAGGGGACAGAAGGGGGAGCGGTGACAAAAGAACACAAGGCAGATCAACATTAGTAAGTCACTCCCACGAGAGTAAGAGTGGGAAGCATGACTGCACAGTCCAAACAATAATTTCAAAATGGAATCAGCTAAGGGAACATAAAAATTTCCCAGTGGCATTCATTCCCTAGAAGCACCCACGATTCCCTGAGTAGGAATACCACACTTGTGGCTTAAGATATCTGAAAAATGCTAGGTCAAAGTTATCAGGCTAGCTGTTCAGATTCGATGTTCCATTTAAAGAGATTTTAGAAGAGAAGAAGGGATGTATCTGCACACTCAGAAGATTCGTGTGAGGTCACAATGCACAGGGAAAATGAACCGCACTTGAAAGACGCGTGAATCGCCATCAAGCTTTTGGAAAGTCTCAGTTACCTTTGAAAATCGAGCATTTATCCATTTGGTAAAGGTTTTCTTCTGCACGTCATTGTGTTCATCTGCAGAGATTGAAAAAAAAAAGGGGGGGAGAAGAAAAACATAAGCCATGAGTAAGTTACTAAATCAGGTTATCTACATCCTGGAGGGTTAAAAAACAGTCTACTCATAGAGCTTGTTAGAGCAGTAACTCGCAGTTAACAACAGATCCTTTGACTCCTCAGGAACAGAGCAGGTACACACTGAGCCTAGGCCATTACCACAGCCAGCTATGAAGGCCAGTCTACGGGATAAAACCAAGTTCACTGGACATAAAATCTCAAGCATAAGAAACATGTCAGCATATTCAAAGACAAAAAAAAAAAAAAGCAAGCAAATGTATCTGATAAAAACAAAGGAGTTTGGGCCTTCAGGGGTCACACCTTGTACAATGCAAATGAATGTAAGGCTCATAGCTCTGGAATCCATTTCCATAGGATGACTGATACAGGTCATGATTCCGAGCTGCTAACATTTTACGGCAGGGAAATGATATTTTCAGCTTAGTTGAAACTGAAAGTTGCAATTGTTGGGTTTTGGTTTTTCTGGAGGGAGGTTGGTTGTTGTTTTGTTTCGTTTTTGTTTTGTGCCAGTACTGGTGCTTGAACTCAGGGCATGGTGCTGCTCCTTAGCTTTTTTGCTCAAGGCTGGTACGCTGCCATGTGAGCCACAGCACTACTTCCAGCATTTTGGTGATTCATTGGAAATGACAGTCTCAAGGACTTTCCTGCCAGGGTTGACTTGAAACTACAATGCTCAGATCTCTGCCTCCTGAATATCTTGGATTAAAGACATAAGCCACAGCATGCAGAAAACCCTAAACTGTTGAGAATGGGTAGCATGATTAAATCTTGTATAAGGAAATCATGTAGCATAATAAATTTATTTTTTAAAAAAAACCTCCTTAGCCAAACAACCACATTCTAATCCACTCACTCACTCACTCTAATCCACTCACAATGTAACCTGGGGTAAATCATCATAATGTCCCCTAGCCTCGTGGTTTCCATCTGGATAATGAAGATCAATATTACAGAGCTTACAGTGGTGTGATCAAGGTTACTGAAGATACACGAAAGCCACTCTAGGAGGAGCTGGTGATTCGCTCATAATTATTACAGTGTGAGTGTAAACAAGGCAGATAAACGAATGTCCATTTTCCCTTCTTATTACTTCCAATCATGCACACTTCAGTCACTCCCCAATTTTCCACTAAAACTAGCCCAAGAGTCATGGTTGGCTCAATGCCTACAAAGTAGCATGTTAAAAAACCTCCCAGTAGTTCTGAAAGCTATCTGGGAATATTTTGAATTCAAGCCGAAAACTGTGGGTCTGTCTGTGTATCTACCTATTCCACTTCCCACCCATAGCCGGCCTGCTCCAACCTCATGAAAACAAAATCCTAACAACATGCCCTAGGTTGGCACCACTGAGAACTGCTGGGAGAACTTTAGGTGGCCATGATGGTGGAATCTCAAAGGGAATGATGAAAAGCCACCACCACCATTACTACCCACCTCTAAGACTCTCTCTCTTCATTTCCTGACCGTGAATGAGGTGAGAAACTGGCTCTACCATTCATCTCCTTCTGTTACCCTCTGATACCCCCCCCAAACCAGAGGCCCAAAGCCCTTGGGCCCATCAAACACAGACTGGAAACTTGAAAAGCACAAGTCCAAGTAAACTGTTTCTCTTAGAAGTTAATCATCTCAGGTCTTCAGTTATTGTGACAGAAAGCTGTCTAATACATCAAGTTTGTTCTAACTCTGTTCTATACTCCCTTCAAGAAGAAGAGTATGCAATTAAAAGGATGTTCTTGTAATGAATATAGCAGCAGCTTGAGAAACTAGTGTACTTTTACAGATCCATAAAGGTAATTGGAGACTGACTCCAAGACACATGGGAACAACTAATAGAAAAAACAATAATGCTGTCTAAGAAAATTCTTGATGCTAATGGTATTAGGAGGTGACCTTCCTACCAGAAAATACAGCCCCTATTTAGCCTTGATACCTAATCTGATCAATGCCACACATGAGCCATTTATTAACCAAGAAGACTTGGTTACATGCTCTGAATATCCCAGCTTTATACAGGCCAGAATACAAGGCTGTATCCACAATCACCTGCAGATGGCGCTATATCAGCCAGACAAAAATGAATTTACTATTCAACATCTGTGTTGGGGTACTTTGAAAATCCAATCCCTTAGTCCTGCTGCCTTAGGATTAAAGTTTATAAACCTTGCTTCATTCATTATTCTTTAGTCCTATTAATACAAAACAGAAAGATCATAAGTATTAAATTCCCATAGTTTCCTAAGAATGTTTGCTATCAACAAGTATGGCAGCACATGCCTGTAATCTCAGGTATGTGGGAAACATAGATAGGAGGATTGCAAGTCCAGGCCAGCCTCCAACAAAAACACAATCCCCTACCTGCAGAAAAGGAACTCAGTAGTAGAGTGCCAAAGTCAAACTACAACCACACACACACACACACACACACACACACACACACACGTGAAAGACAAACGAAAATAAACCAAAGAACTTTTTATCACAAAAGTGAGGAAAATTCTAAGGAATAATTATTATATCCTTTTATGTCTTTTCAAAGCATTTAATGTTTTTCAGAAACATGATAAAATAGCTAATGCTATGTCAAGAGAAAAAAGGAGTACTATCAAATGAATGCCTCATTAAATGATAAATAAGATCACTCCATTTATCACATACATATAATGAGACCAAATTAAGTAGATTCCTCCCAGAGGAATGTTTATAAAAACAAGGTAATGGGGGCTGGGAAGGTTGCTCAGTGGTAGAGCGCTTGCCTTGCATGCATGAGGCCCTGGGTTCGATTCCTCAGCACCACATAAGCAAAAAGAAAAAAAGCCGGAAGTGGTGCTGTGGCTCAAGTGGTAGAGCGCTAGCCTTGAGCTGAAGAGCTGAGGGACAGCATCCAGGCCCAGAGTTCAGGCCCCACGACAGGACCAAAAAAAAAAAAAAAAGTAATGCTTCTAAAACAGTCTATAATCTCTGACATAAATTAACATCTGTATGAGTCAAATTGACTAACTTACAAAATGAAGTATTTGCCTGTAAAAGAGAAATTGTCTAACATGTAAAGTTTCAAACATATGTCAATATTTATAAACATTCTTCTATACTCATTTTCAAAATACAGGGATGGGGGTGGGGGGAAGTTCAAACCTATAGTTTGCATTTTTTCCTCACCCTCCCCCATCCCCACACCCCACTTTATTACATACAGACAAGGATTCTGCACAAGAACAAAACATACCCTGTGGCTTTTCAACTAGGAGATTAAAAAATGTAAGAAATGTGGGAGAGTCGCTCAACATTCAGGTGAGCAGCCTTGGCCCCGCCCTCTTCATCTGGGAACTGGGCATGCTTATGGAATGATCCAAGACCAGTCAAGCTGGATGTAAGACCTGTCATGCTGTCATGATTATTTCGCTTCCTAGATCTTACACAGAACTTCAACAGTTGCAAACGCTTAGTATCAACTGGCTAGTTTTCATTTCTCCAAAGTGTAAATGGGTGAAAAATTAGGCACAATCTTACAAATAACTGGATTCGTGATCTGTATATTAAGTAAACATTTAATTAAGTGAACAGATATAATCATTTACGCTGCGCTGCGCCTCTTCTACACATATTCTTTCAGTTTCCAACCTTAAGATCGAGATTTTTAAAAGCCCATTGCATTTCTAAGAATCTTTGCTAGCTTAGCGAATATCATTCATTAATGACCTTTCTCCATTAGGGAGAGAAACACGGGGACTCCATCAGAAGAAAAATGTGTTCGATCCCTTCAGGCTTGCTGTCCAAATTCCTCCTCTAAATATTTTGCTTCGGACATGTTCACACAGATCCACGGGGCCTGCCCTGCTGCCTGGTTTGAAACTATAATTCTGTGATTGGTTAAAAAAAAAAAAAGGAAGAACTCAACAACTCTTCCTCTGAGGCTGGTTTGAGAATGTTGTCATTTCACCAGCTCCAATGTGCACCGGAAATTCAGCAGAAAGCAATACATCTCCATTTAAACCCTAAACCAAAATTGTAGCAGAGAAACGTAGGAAGTATCTTCAGCATGGAGATGCACGCATCCTAGGAGCAGGAATACTGCTCACCCTAAGACTGTTAAAGTCATTCTGATCTAACTCATAAAACAATATAACAGCATCTAGTTGGCTGTCACCAGCCTAGTATAACTTCCCCCCAAAAAAGTGGGCTAGAATTTAAATTCAAACAGAAATATCTTGTGGGATGCTTTAAAATTTGGATTGATGGCCAGGCAGTGATGGCTCATGCCTGAAATCCTACCTAATCAGGAGGCTGAGATCTGAGGATCGTGGTTGGAAGCCTGCCAGGGCAGAAAAGTCCCCATGAGACTCTTATCTCCAATTAACCTCTCAAAAACCATAAGTGGAGCTGTCACTCAAAGTGGCAGAGTGCTAGCCTTGAGCAAAAGAGCTCAGGGGCAGTGCCCAGGCTCTGAGTTCAAGCCTCATGATCAACAAAACAAAACACTTTATTTTTAAATTTCCTCAAAGCCTCATTCACAAATATAAAATGTAACACACCCAAGAAAGGATTGCTTCAGAAGCAATGAGGGCACACAGCCTAATCCATCTTTAGGGGACACAGCACATCACCCCCCCCCCAAAAAAAAACACATGCACCACTCAGACCCTGCCATGACATTTGTAGTCCTGTTTCCCCATTCGTGGGCTGGGAAGGTGGCTCAGTGGTAGAGCACTAGCCTTGAGCTGAGGAGCTGAGGGACAGCGCCCAGGCCCAGAGTTCAGGCCCCATGACCGGATCCCCCCCCCCCAAAAAAAACAAGAAACAAAAAAAAAAACAAAACAAAACCCATTCGTTTATTCAAATACTATACATTAAAATGTCATGGAAGTCCTAAATGCCAAATAATAATCTGCCAAGTACTATAAATATGTAAACAAAGAGAGAGCCAAAAGGAGAAGAACTTCTCT